CTTTGCCTTAATCTATACATCTACATAATGTATTACCAGTGTTGAGTTATAGTCCATAGAGGAAACAAAAATCATGGGAACTCATTTGGACTACCGAGGATCTAACCCACATAGCAGGGTGCACATTTTTGTTCCGCGTGTGCGTTTGTGTGAGTGAGTGATGACCTTTGCTCATCTTTTCTCCAAGTATCAGGACCACAGCCTTGCAGTTCCTACTGCTGGCTATTCTGGAATAAAAAACTATACGTTTTATTTTTTTAACTGTACTCCATAGGGCTTCTTTTTTGGCAGCAGGGGTGGACAGGGTTAGGTAGGAGTAAGGAGTGAAGGTTAGGGTTGGTTAGTGCTCTGGTTATGATCAGGACTAGGGGAAGAGTTGGGCTAGGACTAGGAGTAAGGATTAGTCTCGTTTTTAGGGTTAGGTTTTTTTTTTTTTTTCTTGAAATCTGCTGATTTCCTCTTCTTTTGGAAGTTTTGTAACTATATTACTCCCTCCAAAGAAATCTACTTTTCATAACCTAACAAGACAGAGTTTGCCTTCAGAAATAAGTGGCAACAGCTGACCTGCAAAACGTCCCACCTGCCGACTTTCCTCTGACTCATGTTACTGCTGGAGGGAGTATCTTAGCGGGAAATGATGGCATAGAACATCATCAAAAGCATGTAGGTTCCCACTGTACAAAAAGGGTTGGTTCTGACTTTGTCCTAAAATGTTTGGTGTTTCCTATCAGAAACTGCCAGGAAGGTCTTCCCAAACAAAAACATCCTGTCCTATCTGAAGGATTTGATCCTGAGAAACTATTAAACAAGATCCAGATGATGAAGGCTTGTCTAACATAATATGTTCCTGTGGATGGGAACAATACTGAACCGAAAGTTTCCTGTTCAATACTGAATGTACACATAATGAACTAGTTGCTTTTAGTGGTTCGAACAGAGCAGCTGAGCCCAGTGTTCACCTGCCTCAGGTGAACCTCAGGACCTTGTCTCTGCAGCAAGTCTGTCCCGGATGTGGGTGTCACAGAAGCCTCTGTGTGTGCACACGGGGCTGCAGAGGTGAAGCCTTGGAAAGTGCCTTTGCCTCGCTTCCATGTGAATTCCAGCCTCCAGTTACTGCTTGCAGGGGCAGGAAGAGCAGGTCAGGTCAAGTCGACCCCCCTGCCTGTCTTCTCCAGTGTCTGCCACCAGCGGGATGAAGCCACAAGGGGCAAAAGCACGGCAGAAAGACCTCTGCTTTTAGAGACACAGCTCTCTGAGACAAAGAGGTCAGAAGTGGGCTAGAACCGTGCATTGTAAAAGCACAAAGAAGCAGAAACTGATGTGTTGATAAGTGTGTTACTAGCAATACGGAAGTGGGTTCATTGTCTCTTTTTAAACTCTATTAAGAACGCCTTTGTAACAGCTAAAAACGGTGTTAACAACTATTGCAAACCAACTGTTGTTGTTGTTAGGTGCCATCGAGTCGGTACCGACTCATGGAGACCTTATGCACAGCAGAATGACCTTATGCACTTAACCATCTGTGTTAAGGGCTAAATGTGCCAGACACCACCAAAACCATGTCTTTCAATTTTGAAGGTTCTAAATCAATTGAGGAGTTTCAAAAGTGCTGCCGACAACCGAACATCATTACTCAAAATGTGAGACCTGTGATCCAGCATGCATCAAAGCCCACAGGGTCAGAGGAAACCCAATTTCAGATTAGCACCCCACCTGCCAGGATGGACTATTAGCAACTCACTGGGAAAACGACCACTTCCTGACCACTGCTCTATATATGTTTCCTATGGCCCATTCATGATGATCTCTATTTCCCCGAAGAGGAGACTGAGGCCCAGAATGGGAAGGCAGGTGGCCCAGGGGAGGCTAAGAAGCCACAGCTAATGAGTGGTGGGGATCAGCTCAAATCTTGTAATTTTAGCAGTTCTGCCAGCTGTCAATATATAATGCTAATAGCACATAGGATTAATGCTGAAAGCTAAGGTTAAAAACAGAGGTTGGAAGGATTTTAAGAAAATTACTTGTCTGGCTGGTAAAACAAACATATAAGGCATTTTGTTCACAGAAATGACAAGATCTGTACAATTAATGTACTTGATAGCCCCAGTCACAGAATGCATTTGAGAACAAAGAAAATTCACTCAGAGCGATGATATCAGTTCAATTTGGAGCCGTGAAACAACAAAAAAGCAGATCTGGAATAGTGTCCAACAAATTCTAAAGTTCATAAACCATCCCAAGTCTAAGTCACTTCGAGAGATTCCTGCAGAATCACAGAAAGTTTAGAACTTTATGGGATACGACTGCAACGAACTCTGTAAGCCTCAACATTCATTTATTCATCTGAAATAAGATACTAAGCGCCTGGCACATGTTAGCGGGCCACCTCTGTGAGTGCATTTAACTGTGTAGAATTATACGTACCAGTGGTGAAGAGTTCGGGACCTTAACTGCTTCTCCACCACTTACATTTTCCCCCCTTGGGTAGAAGGACACATTTATTTAAGCTTTTTCTGTGCATTGAATGAAGGTTTACAGAGCAGGCCATCACTTTTACATTCCACAAATTACACACTTTGTTTCATCTCAATGATTGCAACCCCGTCCATGCAACAACAGCTGTCCCGCTTCCTCCCTGGGGTTCTTGTGTCCACTCCTCCTCCATTCCCTGCCTTTCTGAATGGTGTCCTTAGGTAAATGCTGCCCCTTTTGATCTGGAATGGTTGCCCATTCAGTGGTGTGTGTGTGCCTCACTAATGTTGTCGCTCCCTTACCCCACAGGGAGGAGTTCAATTCCAGACTTGAAGGGTGACCAAGGGTCATAGTCTTGGAGTTCCACCGCTCTCTATCTGAACAGTAAGCCTGGTCTCTTTTAAGGTTTTGAGTTTTGTTTCATATTGCCTCCCACTGTATCCAGGACCTTGTAATGTGATGTCTTGCGGAGCAGTTGGGAGTGGCAGCCAGGCACTTAGTTCTTCTGCGGTGTGAAGACTCCAGTCACTTCTCAGCCAAGCAGGGGGTAGAACCTGGGCTTTGTGGACTGTGTTTGCCAATGGACCGCGGGAGAAGGGCACATTTCATTACTCTGTTTTCGTTTCATTCACATCTATTCTTTCTTTTGTCCCTTTCATTGAACAACAAACAGGCTTATGATGGGGCTTCCAAAAATTCATGGAAAAATGTCATTATCTTTCAGTTCATTTTTTTCCCCACGAACATTTTGAAGCCCCCTTGTATTTTAAATCAGAAGATAATGCAAAATGGCTGTATAGATGACTGGGCTTGCTTCCATCTGTGATCATAAGCGTAATTCTACCTGTGAGCACAGGCTTTAATCTTCGGCGAGAAAATGATGTTGTTTTAACTTCTGGTAAGGCTGACAGAAACAAGCCCTGTCTTGATCCTTTTTCTTTGTCTAAAGCTGTAACAAACAGTACTACAACCCAATGTGGACACGCTCTAGTGCCTACTCTCATTCCTTAGATTACACAAACCGGTATTTTGTATGTATCTTGGAAAAAGAAAAAAAAAAAGCAAGACTTAATTTAAGATTTATTTCTGGAACTCAAGGAAAGAAATGTAGTCTACGTGCAACAGAGAAAACTCTTCAAAACACTTGTTAGGCAGTAAGTCACCCTTCAGGTCTGGAACTGAACTCTCCCCCATGACATGATTTTCAGCCAAACACTCGATAGGTCTATAAGGGGCGTGTCAATGGTAGGGAGGTATGAACACCTTTGAACAGTCAACCATTTGGGACCCAGACGGCAGCACTGGTGCAAAGACAAAGTTCAGAAGGGCTAGGAAAGGAGGAGGCATGGCAACAGGAAACACTGGGAGTGAGTGGGATGAGGGAAGCTACACGACAAGGATTGTGATCAATGAGATGAAACAAAGTATGTATGAATGGAAAACTGATGAGTTCCTCTGCAAACCTCACAACAAAAAGTAAACAACAACAACAAAGAGAATAAACTCATCACTTCTTGGACTTTTGGCTAAAAACAAAACAAAAAAATGTTTGAATATACTTTCTAATATGCATCAAAGAAAACAACACTTTAATCAAAAAAGAGTAGTAAAAAGCCAACAAAAAACCCCCCCAGAAGTCTTCAGGAAGAAATCAGACAGAAATACAATTAGACATACCTTATATCCCCTACTGCTCAGTTTTGGGACCCCATGGGGACCAGTAAATACTAGTCCACCGTTAGGAAACTTCCCATTTCCAGACTTCCATGTTTTTGTTTTATTGGAAAATTCTGGGCAAAATGTCATACAATTAGACCTCCGTAAGAAAAATTGGTTAGCGCAAGGCGAAAACCATTTGTGTCCTGTTCTAGTTCTTTGCAGCAAGTTAGGAAGAAATTATAAAAAGAACCCCCCTGCTTTCTGACGGAAGCTAGAAGAGCATAAGCACACTTCCGTAAGCCCAGGGCAGGGCCAGGTGGCCTCAATACGGGGCCCAGCAGGGCCGGAGAAGTGCAGGCTGCCCATTGCTTTTTTCTGTGGCGCTTCAGCGTGCTCTTGTTCTGTAGCACGGGGCATCCCTGAGCAGTGTACTGATCAAGTGGTACCAGTCTGACTTGAGGTACCAGTAACTGTCGGGACAAACAATCCCAGCATCAGGCAGGAGCCCGAGCCAGGACGACTTTGGTGCAAGTCTTAACAATGAATGATGTCATGTACGCTGCAACAAGTTTTCAGAAAGCTCCATGTTTTCATCTTTAAAATGAGCTTAATACCTCAAGGGACTATTGTTTAGATTAGAGATCATACACACACACACACACACACACACACACCTGGTGGAGTGTCTGACAGTCAATGAACAGCACGGCTACTACTTGATAAGCTCCATTCTACTACAAAAACTCTGGAGGCTAACTTATTTGAGGAGTGGTATCTGTATCCAAATGAGGAGTTATGAGTTGATGTATTAGGGAAGGAAAAGCACACAAGGCAGGCAAGGACAGGAAGCAGGAGAAGCCTGGACTTACGTCGTTCCTCTCTGTGCCTCTCAGTCTCCGCAAAGTATTGGCGCAGCTCCTCAGTGATCTCCATGTTGCTCAAGTCGCATTCGATTCCCCCATCGGACTCACTCTCTGTCTCCTCCTCTGACGATAACAAAGCTGGCTCTTCTTCTCTGGTGGAGAACTGACCCCAAAGGCTGGCAGGTGAAGGCTGCCCAGATCCTCTAGAATGCGGCTGTGTGCTGTGGGCATCCTGGGGCGCTGAGGGATGGTTGTAAAAGGACTGAGGGTACTCACCCTGGTTACCATAACCGCTATAGGGGTGAACCGCAGTGGGGAGATACCACAGAGAATTCACATAGGATTCCATGGCCTTCCTGTAGGCCTCATGGTGGCTTCGCATCCAAGCCATTGCCTGATGATAATGCTGCCAGTATCTTGCATAGGCCGGATGGGAATACCAAGCATCAGCGTCTTTTGAAGATGATGCCTATGAAATGAAGTGAGTGGAGAGTAGATGCCGAGCAGTGCATCCTCAAGAGAAATCATCAACTGTTTCCTCAACTAACCAGCGGGCACGTACTGAAAGGATGCTGCTGCGCCACCAAAGGAGTGTGTCCCGAGCAGACACCACGTGGAAACACACTTGCTGTATAAATACATGCACACGAGCCACACAGACACGGGGCAATCAGCTTACCATTACCGCACATTATAAAGTACAGACCGAGGCTAAGACTCTTTTGCTACAATTCAGAGAGCGATAAGGGCTCAAAGTTTGGCACCTTAACCATCTCACCCCATGGTAATGAAATGATTCTTTCTGAGCTAGAGACAGCTGCCAGGAGCCACACGGATGGATGGCCAAGAAGGACGCTAGCCCCTCTCTTCCCCATCCCCGGAGTAAGCCACTCCTCAGTGCCCGGGACAAAAGATGTGCACTAACGCATCCAACAGAACTTTGACTTGTCGCTCTCTGATGCATTTCTTCCATCTTCTCTGTCGTGGAATGAGAATACTTAAACACACTAATTTACCTTTTCTTATAAAGTTCAATAACCAAATAAAAACAAACTTACCTTTGCTGCCATCTCTAATGGTGAACGTTTCAACAGGCACCTGAATCTAGAGCAGAACCACCACAGTGGCAACATGTGATCAGTACAAGTGTGTGACAGTCAAGGCTGTTTCATGGTTTTCAAAATCCTCAACATCATGCCTGTTCTTAACACCTACACAGCCCTGGCACTTGGGTCAAGACCTTGTGGTTTGTAAAGGAGGAGTCCGCTTTGGCATGCTGAAATAGGTCACAGGACACTGCATGGTTTGCCATTCAATTACTGGCTTCCATATGGAAAGGAGCTCTGGTAGCGTAGTGGTTACGAATCGGGCTGCTAATCTCATGGTCAGCAGTTCGAAACTACTAGCTGTTACATGGGAGAAAGATGATGCTTTCTGCTCCCGTAAAGATTTACAGCCTCCGAAACCCTGTACAGGGTCGCTATGAGTCGGAACCGACTCCATGGCACATAACAACAACAACATATTGAAAGGAAAGTCTACAAAAAGAATCATATTGATATTTAGTGGCGCGGTAGCATCAGCACTAGACTGTGAACCACAAGGTCGGCAGTTCAAACCCACCGGCTGCTCCTCAGAAACCCCATACAGGGTCTCTATGAATTGGAACCAACTTGACGGCGCTTGATAACAACAACAACAATATGTAAAATGGATACTGGTGTGGGGCTGTAGGATCAGCTAGGGATTGTTAGCCATAAGGTCAGTGGTTCAAGCTCACCAGCTGCTCCTCGGAAATTCTATCCAGGGAGGTTACAATGAGGAATCAACTCTACAGCACTTCCCCCAACATGTCTACACAAGGGAGCAGTGGTGGCTCAGTGGTAGAATTCTAGCCTTTCATGTGGGAGTTGTTATTGTTAAGTACTGTGGAGTCAGTTCCGACTCGTAGTAACCCTACACTGGGTTTCCGAGGCTGTAAATCTTTACAGGAGCAGAAAGCCTCATCTTTCTCCCACGGAACCGCTGGTAGTTTCCAACTGCTGTCCTTGAGGTTGGCCGCCCAACTCGTAACCACTACACGACCAGAGCGCCTTTTTATGCGGGAGACCCCGGTTTAATTCCCAGCCACCATACCTGGCACGCAGCCACCACCTGTCTGTCAGTGGCCATGAAGCTGAACAGGTTTCTGTGGCGCTTCCAGACTAAGACAGCCTGGGAAGAAAGGTCAGATGACTGACTTCTGAAAACCAGCTAATGAAAACCCTATGGATTACAATGGGCCGATTCACAACCTGCAACCGCTTATTCCATGGGGCATGGGGTCACCACGAGTCGGCGGCCCACATGTTGATAGCTGACAACAACGGGTTTATCAAAAATAACATAAATGAAACATTCGCAGCTATTAATTCACTTTCTAACCCTTTGAGGCACTGTGGGTTAATGTGTCAGACTGCAAAGCTGCTTGAACTGCAAGGTTGGTAGTTCAAGCTCATCAGCTGCTCCTTGGAAACCCTACACAGGGTCGTTATGGGTCAGAACCGACTCAACGGCACTTACCAACAATAACAACCCTTACCTCATGCTAATGACTATTTAAATCAACCTGGGACTTTCCAGCACTTGAGAATTCATTTTTCCAACTCATCAGAAACCTCTGTTGCATTTCACCTGAGGTTTGGGATGGTCTCTGCTGCCTGGTTGTGCCTTGAGCTTTCTTTCATTCAAAGTGAGTTTCTTCAGGGTTTGGATTTTGATTGCAAAGAGCCTCTCTCACCCTGACACCACACCCCCCTGCAGGAGAAAACTGGTCCCCGAAGATATTGCACTGAGCAGCGGCACCAACTGGTGCCGAGACTGCTCTCTGCCCAGAGAAGGTACCTTGGTTCTCACTCACCTGCTTCTGTAATTTACGTATTGATTTATTTGAAGTAGCCAAAGCAAAAACTTAATCTGCACGCTATTACGATCTATTCGGACTTACTTTTTTTCTGTCCACTGGTTCAGTTAGTAAACCCAAAGCTTATACCAGCATGCACCTAAAAAAACACACACACACAAAAAAACAATTTAAAAATAAGAATAAAAACAAAGATCCTAAAATGAGTGTCAGATAAAGGATGTGAGAGAGGGAACCACGAGTGCTAAGAGACACGGGCAAACAGCTGACTTGGGTTTGAAACTTTGGAAATCAGTTCTAGCAGGAGTCTTCATTTTCCAACTTCGCTTAATTATGGGTGGGGTGGGGTGGGGGCAAGTGGTATTAATTGCAGCTGAGTCTGACTCATAGCCACCTGTGTAAGAACTCCACACACAATAAGCTTCCAGCCTAAGAAATTAACTGGAGTTATTTTGTAATAGCTATCACATGGGCAATGTTACAATGTTACAAATCAAGTTGTTAAACGGACCACTTCTATCTTTGGGGGTTCAAATTCACCAGCTGCTCCTTGGAAACCTTATGCAGGATCATTAGGAGTCAGAACCAACTCAAAGACACCTAACAACAACAACAACAACCATCTTTGACCATATTGCCTAAAGAGAACCACTCATGTGCTTTCAAGCAGGGTGTTTCTCAGAGGGCTGATACAACTTTTTGTAAATTTTTTTAAAACATTGCCCACACTTCCTGCTTCCTGTTGTCAATTCAGGAATACACACACACAGTCTCTCTCTCACACACATACACAGAGTCTCTCTCTCTTTGAACACAGACTGCAAAAGAATAAACAAATGTAATGAATTCAGTTCACGTTATTTTGACACTGTAAGGCAAAGGTTGAAAACTAAGCGATTCCCTGAAAATCTAGAGAGCTGCTGTCTTCACTAGGCAAGTGGCCCACAAGCAAACCCACTGCCGTCCAGTCTCTGCCGACTCCAAGCCCCTGTAGGTCAGAGGAGAGCTGCCCCTAAAGGTTCTGAGGCTACGAATCATTACCGAAGCAGACTGTCACAGCTTGCCCCCATGGAGCGGCTGGTGGGTTCAACCTGCCCACCTTGCGGTTGGTTGCTGAGTGCTTAACCACAGTACCGCCAGAGCTCTCAGGCTAGTGAAAGGTATACAGCAGACCATCCAGTGAAGAGGCTTACCACTCCTGGAGTCAAATTAAGACAAATGCAGCAGTGGCAGAAAGCAGTACACATTCCAGTGCCACCCTGGAGACACAGTCTATGAACGGCTAATTCACTGTCTCCAGTCCCTGTTGCTACTACTGCACTCGGAATTGCTTTCTGACAGCCTGCAGCACATAAAGACATTACAGTGACCTCTATGTGCGTCTCCATCAGATCTGCTTTATAGATGGACAAAGAGCACAAGAATATGATTAAACAAGCCCCTGAAACAACTGCGGCCTTCTGGAAATGGAGATTTTTGAATTCTGACTTCTACATGCTGAGACCGGATCCTCGGGGCTATCCATAACACTGAGCTGGGTGGCCCTGAACCTCAATGACATCATATCCAGTCTTATGGGAGCCCGCTGCTCTTTGGAACTGGGGGCCCAGCCAGGCTCTGAAGGGGGATGGGTATTAGGGTTCGACTATGGTGAGGTGGAAGTTTAGGCCCCTGGGAGGAAATGGCCACGTTGCCCAAATGGCCATAGTTGTGATTTATGCAGGTGAAAGCACTCAGCTGCTAACCAAAAGGTTAGAGGCTGGAACCCACCAGTCAGTTTGTAGGAAACCCCATTCCACCCTAGAGAGTTGCTATGAGTCAGCAAAAGCAGTGGATTTGATTTGCGTTTGTGTGATCTGAGGTGGGGCAGGAGGCTTGTTAACTCCAGAAGTGACATACACCTTTGGCCCCCACTTCCCATTGCTGTGGGCTTGACTCCGACTCATTAAGACCCACGTGTTATCAAAGTAGAAGTGTGCTCCATAGGGTTGTCAATGGCTAATTTAGGGCAATAGATCACCAGGCTTTTCTTCTGAGGCACCTCTGGGTAGACTAGAACCACCCAACTTACTGGTTAGCAGTCCAGTGCGGAACAGATCATAGCAGCCAGGCACTCCAGATGTCTTTGAGACCACAACTAATTTCATAGAAGGATTGTTTCAGAGGACATGCAGGCACACCCTGAGCACCCATTAGCATAAGAAGGAAGCCAGGAAGACGAGCGGGGGCTGACCGGAGCAAAACTATATTATTCAGCCTCAGATCAGATAGCCTGGCATCTCTCAAACACGTGAACTACTACACTAAGGTGTGAAGCTCTTTGACCAGCCCGGCCAGGAAGAAAAGCTGAATTTCTCTTCCTGCTGGAATACAGTTAGCTCTCTAGGCTTTGCTGGTTGCTGAGGCCTGAGGCTGGATGTCAACTATCCCACCCTCCCCCTTGGCTTTCTTCGGTTCCCTTCACCTATCAGATCCTTTTCTGTTTTTCGTATTTTTGTACGGTCCCTGCAATCCTAGAACCACTCCATTAAAAAGAGTTCCGAGAATCTTGGACAAATGGATGAGTGAATCTCTCAAAAATCTAGATAAGGCCGAGAAAACAATTTTAACAGGAAAGCAGCATGCACAGAACTTCCGCATTATGACTGGCAGGGTCTTTCTAGTGTTACTTTTCTGTGTGTCAGCAAACGTTTTCAATAAAGGGCCAGATATTTTAGGCCTGTGAGCCACATCTGGACTGTCACATAGTCTCATGAGTCTTGGCTTTTTTCCCCTCACAAAGCTTTAATGCTGTGAAAAGCATTCTTACTTCACTAGCAGTACAAAACAAGTTGTGGGCCAGCCTTTGTTCCCCGCTGGTTTTGGTTACCACATTACGTGGCAGAGACTCTTAATTAAGTGGCAGAACATCTTAATTGTTCCTCATTTTCTACTTGGAAACTTCGGGAGGAACTCCACGATTCCCATACATCCATCATTAGGCTTAGAATAAGACAAACTGCTAAGCAGTTCCTAATATTTTGGGACAAAAAAAAAAAAATCATCTCTATGTCGTTATGTATCAGGGGCTACCAGAAGAATAAAGACACTGTCTTGGAAGAAGTGCAGCCAGAATGTTCCTTGGAAGTGAGGATGGTGAGACTTTGTGCTTCATACTTTGGTCACACTTTAGGTAAAGTGGAGAGTTCATGAAAAAGAGGAAGGCCTTCAGTGGGATGGAATGACACAGTGGCGGCACCAATCAGCTCCAACAGCAAGGACTGTGAGGCTGGGGCAGGGCCTGCAGCGTTTCCTTCTGTTGTACGTGGGGCCTCGGTGAGTCAGAATCGACTTGATGGCACCACAACCACAACACGACTAAGTGAAGACACTGGACCATTGCTTAGCACAGACAGAAATGGGTCCTGCCAACTTTTTCAAGCTGGTTACCCTTTCCGCAGACAGCTTAGGGAATGACAAAAGAATGCCTGAGTTTCTGCAAAGTCAACAATTCGATCAATTCGACATATGACAGTCATCCTTTAAGAAGCCACCACCAGTAGAAGTTTTGCGACAAAAACTGGGGAGTAATCTTACAGTCCAGAAACAGAGGACCCTAGGACCATCAAGGGAGAAAAGCACAAGCGGAATGAGAGACCTTATCCAGAGAAGCAACGACACCAGAGATGGAGGCAGAAATGGGACATGGAGAGAGGGAGCAGCTGAGGACTCTAGATTCATGGGAAGAGAGGGACTGAGAGCTGGCAGTCAGGAGGCAGACTTACAGAATGTGCCCTTTGGTGGTGTAAATTATTATATATACCTGACTGTTTAAAAAAAAAAAAAAAGAGCTAAGTGAATGGAGAGAAATCCTGTTAACTGATGGCACACGGAGGTGATTATAATCATTATGATGAAATTAGGTGTATGATTGGTTGAATGTAAAACTGATGATCTGCCCTGTAAAGTTGCACTCAATTGACATTAAAAACGTAAAAAGACTAAAAGAAGCCCCCACCATGCTTACAGGTGCCATGTGGTTTTGCTTTCTCTTCTGTGCCCCCACCTCCCTGGGAGGTCTTCTCTTAAATGGCCTGGTTTTTGTGGCTTCATGAGCTGGTTGGTGGAGCTGAGAAAAGGGACTGGCGATGTCAGGAGGGCTGGGATCCACAGCGCCATTCGAGCCGGGCAGCCGTCCCCAGAGAGCACAATGGCATCATAGTCACTGCCCAGCTGAGCCCGAGCTAGGACAGAGACCCAATTCATTGTCTGTCCATCCTCAGCCTCCAAAGAAGGAAGGAAAAAAACAGGGTTGAGGTCATTCACTGAACACTGCCGGGGCCTCCAGGCAAAAGCGCCTCCACATCGCAGTCGGAAAGCTCAACGTTCGTTCCCATAAAGCCTTTCTCAACACAAGCGGAATCTGTGCTGAGCCTGGGGGCGGGGGTGACAGGCATCCACATACATAAAGACAGACCACAGCGTTGCAGTTTTCCATGGATAAAATGTGACTGTCGATTCAAAAAATAAGCAAGCTCTGGTAGTGTAGTAAATTACTCACTGCAAGGTCACTAGTTCGAATCTATGACTTGTTCTATGGGCGAAAGAGAAGGCTTTCTGCTCCCATAAAGATTTACAACCTCAGAAACCCAATACAGGGTCACTAGGAGTTGGCACCAACTCGACAGCACACAACCAACACCACTATTCAAAAATGCCACAAAGAAATAAGGTGGCTTTGTTGCAACGTAGTAATATCATCCATATTGTGCTTACGGCATTTATAGTCGCGTGACTACAGGATCTAGGATGTTCCACAGCAAGCAAATCAATAAAAACACAAATCCCGCCTCAACACATTAATGTGTCCTCTGTACCTAAATCCCAGCCCGAACATCATTTTCCAAATTTCTGAAATGTCTGAATTGTCCAGAGTTCTCAACATTCAACACATGAAAACTCACTTGCTTGGTTTTTGCCTGTAAGCACATTACCATCCAATCACACTAAGTGACGCTGGCTACAGTCTCCACAGCCCAAGCTTTCCCACCTACGAGACTCTCAGAGCTCACCAAACAGTTGGGGACATCTAATAAGGCCCTGAGGGTCACCTTGTGGAAGGCAGGAAAAGGGGACCTGCTGGAGACTGAGGCAGATGAGGCCCGGGCGAATCTGCATCACATAAACTCAGTCCACCACAGTTCTACAGACTCTCTGGATAGGTACCAGTAACCCATCAGAGGAGTCTTCCAGTAATGGGCTCAGTAGGTAAGATAGCGAGCTCAAGTCCCAGGGGCCTTCCTCTAGCCTCCGGGGTTCAAACTCCACCTTTTGGCTGGACACAGGCCTTCTACAAGTGCACCTGACACTGTGTCCCCACAGCCTGCACCTCCCATCTACAACCGAACCCAACCCAACCCATCGTCCTGTCAGATGAAGCAGAACCACTTCATAGTTTCCGAGACTAAATCTTTATGGAAGATGATGATCATATCGTTCTCCCATGGAGCAGTTGCTAGATTCGAACTGCCAACCTTTTGGTTAGCAGCCATCCGCTTAACCTCTGCGCCACCATCTATAACAGCCACCATAAAAACTGACGGACAAGGGTGCAAACAAACCCCAAACCCTATTTACCTTCTTCTGGGTGATGCAGTAAGATAATTTGCTCCAGAGTGTCACAAGGCTGAGACGATGTGGTGAACAAGTCCCTCCCCACCCCCAAATAAACGACTCTCCACCCACATGATACTGTTAAATTTGTCAATAAGGGTGATGGATTTGGGAATAGACTTATTTGCAAGTTTATCAAATCCCCATGTGATTAGGGTCAGATTCAGAATTTGAAGCCTCACAAAAACAAGGTTACTCTGACTCATGAAGCCAGCAGGAGACTGGGGGCTACTGACAAGATCTAATGGCACACTTCCAAAGAGGAGAGAGTTCACTACAATGCAGTCATGACCACCAAGGAAATGTGATGAAGAAGCAGGCACTGCATGCTCAGAGCAGATCAGCAAAACCTTGACTCACAGAGAGCGGTTAAGGCCACCGGTCAATTTCACGAGTAAAAATGCAAGGTCCCCCCCTTCATGAGCACGTCACGTTCCTTTCTTGTCTGCTGAATGAATTCAGCTCTCACTAAGTTGCACTCATCCCGGTACTTAATTACTTGGTAGCATGGATTCAGCCAATTGCTTCTTTTAAATTTCCTAGTGTCCTGGTATGGTGCTGTAGGAAAAGCACTGGACTGCTAATTACAAGGCACATGGTTCAAACAGAACCAGCTGCTCCTTGGAAACCCTATACAGGATCACAGTGAGTCAGAATCGACCTGATGGCACTTAACAACACATTTTCCTTCTACCATAAAAATAACGGTTGATATTTCTTCTCCTTGGATGTTCCCGACTGCCTTTTCCTGGCAACATTCTCTGCTCTGACCTCCATCTGAAAGGTTGAACAGTGCCCTTGAGTCGATTCTGACTCATAGCGACCCTGTATAAGGTTTCCGAGGAGCAGCTGATAGGTTTGCAGTCCAAAAAGCCTTTAAATCTTCTCAGACAGCAGGCATTTAAATTCACTATTACATTTTCAATCCAAGCTATTTTCAGTGTATTCGACCTCTGATCAATAAGTTATGCTGTTTTTCAGTTGTTCAACTGTACCAAAAAGAAATGGTTGATCTTCAACTGTTTCAAGAGGTAGCATATGATCAATAGCCAATAGTACTGAAGGAAGAAGTCCAAGGTACACTGAAGGTATTGGCAAAGAACAAGGCTCCCAGAATTGATGGAATACAAATGGGAGTCTTTCTACAAACTGATGGGGCACAGGAGACACTTACTCACCTATGCCAAGAAATGTGGAAGACAGCTACCTGGCCAACTGACTAGAAGAGATCCATACTTGTGACCATTACAAAGAGAGGTGACGCAATGCAACGTGGAAATCATCAGACAGTATCATTAACATTACATGCAAGTAAAATTTTGTTAAAAGATAATTCAAAAGTGGCTGCTACAATACACTGACTTGAAGCTCAAGTTGGGTTCAGAAGAGGACGTGGAATGAGGGATCTCACTGCTGATGTCAGATGGATATTGGCTGAAAGCAGAGACTATCAGAAAGATGTTTACCTGTGCTTTATTGACTATGCAAAGGTTTTCGATTGTTTGGATCCTGACAAGCTATGGACAACGTTGCGGAGCACTTCACTGTGCTCATGAGGAACCTGTACATAGACCAAGAGGTAGTCGTTCGAATAGAATTAAGGGGATACTGAATGGTTTAAAATTGGGAAAGGTGCGCACCACGGTTGTATTCTTTCACCATACTTATTCAAACTGTACACTGAGCAAATAATTTGAGAAACTGGATTATATGAGGACCACGGCATCAGGATTGGAGGGAGGCCCATTAACAAATTATGATATGCAGATGATACAACCTTGCTTGCTGAAAGCAAAGAGGACTTAAAATACTTACTGATGATGATCAAAGACCACAGCCTTCATTCAGTATGAGTTGCACTTCAATGTAAATAAAAGAAAAAAATCCTTAACACTGGACCAATAAATAACATCAAGATAAATCAAGTAGACTGAGTTGTTGAAGACTTGGATCAACCATCAACACTCATGGAAGCAGCAGTCAAGAAATAAAACAATGTATTGCATCAAGCAAATCTGCTGCATAAGACCTCTTTAAAGTGTTGAAGTCTGAGGACTAAGGTGTGCCTGACCCAAGCCATAGTATTTTCAATAACCTCACATGCATGAAAGCTGGACAGTGAATAAGGAAGACCTTAGAAGAATAAACAAATCTGTGTTGGAAGAAGTACACCCAAAATGCTCTTTAGAAGCCTCAATGCGAGACTTTGTCTCTCATACTTTAGACATATTATCAGGTGGGACCAGTCCCTGGAGAAGGACACCATGCTTGGTAAAGCAGAGGGTCAGTGAAAAAAAGAGGAAGACCCCCAATGGAATGCATTGGTAGTAATGGGCTCAAGTATAGCAATGGTTGTGAGGTTGGCGCAGGACCAGGTCGTGTTTTGTTCCGTTGTGCATAAGATCGCTATGAGTCAGTACAGACTCAATGACACGTCACAACAACAACTGTTCTTTGGTTGGTTTTTCTATTTTAGAGAAATCAATCTAAGAGTTCTAGACTTTGTGAACTCTCCAACCAAGTCTTACTTAACTTTCCTCCCTCTATCCTGCTCACATACCTAAATGCTGAATCAGGAAGACAAACTACATCTTTTCACATCTGTAAAAGAGTTTGTGGAGGAAAATCTCTCTGGAGTTTTGCTTTGCATACTTAGCCAGAACAGCAATGAACACAGTGTGGATTTGCTCAGGACTGTGAGCAGTTAGTCCTCTCCAAAGTTACTAAACAATCTTTTATTATTCAAATATATAGTTTTTGCTCACTTTGCTGTCCCAAAGGCACTGTTACTCCAAGAAACTGTAGAGTCGACATATTTATCAAGCATATCCTCACTCCACAATTCAGGGGAACACTGAGAGTAAACCTTCCCAGAAAGGTTATGTGTGCTACTAACCTTTTACAATTTCAAGGAAAGTTTTGATTTGAGAGAAACAGCTGAATACAGAGCCTCGACTGTGAAACAAGTTTAAAAACCATCCTATGTAGGGGAAAAAGGAAAATCAAACCGGGTCAAAACCATCTAATCTTTGCCAAGTGGATCTCAGGATTCCGACGCTGAAATGCACATGGCTGGGCACCTGTTCAACTCCATTCACCTTGTCACAGAAGGGGGTTAACGACACGCTCTGCCTCAACAGGAACCATGTACAGACGACCCCAGGGGCCACACGTTCTCAAGAGAACTTCCACCCAAAACTCTGCCCCTCCCCCCCCGCCGCGCCCCAGCTCACAGTGAAAGGGCAGATTAAGAAAGGCCCCATTTTTGATGGGCCAGTACCCAGGCATCCTTTAGAAAGAGGCACTGGGCAGGATCGTTCCATTTCAGCTCCAGATTTAGCTTAACGAACAAACTAACTTTTTTGGCACATTAGAATCATCTGGAGAGCTTTTTAAAAAAGCGCCGCTGCCTGGGAATCGAGAATTGGTCTGGGTTGGGGGACGGGGCACCAGACTTTACTTTAGAGTCACCCAGTGATTTCATGTACGCCGGGAGAGAACTCGAGATCTAGCTCCCTCTGACAAGTAACCCCTGGAGCTTTATGATCTCCTGGGCCTCCCGCCCATCTTCTGCAACGGGATTAACAGTAGGAAAACGTAGCCCCATGGACCTCGCCTCTCCCTTCCTTACAAGAGAGAAGCATCTAGG